ATCACGCTTTTTGGAACATGCTCTGCTGCCCGATGTTCTATGATTTTCACCTACTTCTTTTCTGTTCTTTGATGGAAAAACCACTAGTTTCTGCACTCGATGAAACCATTTGCACCTCCTTATGTAAGACTACTACATTCTTTACTTCATCTAATGCTCTTGCTGAGCAACCCTTTCATTTTTTATCATCCATGCGGAGAGCATAACCTAAAGGATAGATTGGTTAAAAAACAATTAGTAAAGATTACTGAATAATCATCTGAATCACTATCGTTCGTGCTTCAATACCTGGCAAAAATATTCATGCATACACATAAGTCATTACGACAAACACGCTATTTAAAAGAATGCATTTATGTACATGCATAAAGGTCCTTTCTCTTCCTTATATCTAGAAGTTCATAATTCAACACTGACAAAATTAGTACACTTTATTTGGGCTGCCTTTTTCTATAAAACCAAGTTTCATTCAACATGTCAAAACACCATAATTAATAGACCTTCAGCCCTCAGTTTTCCCTATATTCGTTATCAAAAAGACTCTTCAATAACTATTACATTTCTTTCCATGCAAGATACCAATAAATACTTACATTCTTGTAACATGGAATAAAGTAAGGGCGCCCTAATCAAGCCCTGTCCCAAAATCATCCACTCACGTGTTTCTACTTTTATCCGGACACCCCTTCGCAGTCAAGCCACTAATCAGGGCTGTGCCCAAAATCTGTAAAATAAATTCAAACATGAGCCAAAACGTTCAACGCTGACCCACATTGACTTTTAATTGACTTTGATATGACACTTTATTGACATTTATCTGACTTTATATACGCATTTATATGATTTTACTTACGTGTGACAATGTAGTTTCAAGCCTCTATTTCATGGGCAGTTTGTCATAGCTGAAGAAGTTTCTTAGATGGCCTCGCATCATAGCTCTCCAACAAATCTTGCAATAATAATAAGTATGTCTTCTTAGGCACTGATGCTGTTCACTTCTTCCTTCGCGGTGGACTCTTGCTAATGTGCTTAAAAGCTATTGGATATTCATCATAAGACTTACATTAAATATTTACAAAAATAAATATCGTAACTATAAGAATAAAGTACATAAAATGCAAGTAATTACAAATTAAATATTGTTATTAAATAGCCATTATAATGCTATTAAATGTTAATTTAATATTTGTATAATAGAGTTACGTTCTAATTTCAATTGAATGTATATAATAAAATATTAAAGTAAATAATGGAAATTTCCTGAATATGGGAGTGAAATGTTCAAGTGTTCTCTCCCTGTGTCGACGATCTGACAAGGGTTCAACAGGGCTGAGGAGAAGGCTTGGCCAGCGCCGCCGTCTCTGGGGGTGCAGCCAAAAATTCACAAAACAGCATAAAACAGGCCTGTCCCTTGAAATCGAGCAGTCCTCGGGGCCTGCCCTCATATAGGAGATACCCTGTAGCGCACCTCTCTTTGCTGAGAGATTCTCCAAATTCTAACTGAACACAGTATGCGTAATTACATTTAAAATATTTATTCGTACAACGCTTGATATAGTTCAGAATTCTTTCAACGATGTTTTATCGACTAAGAGTAAATATGTTTCATTGAACGTTTCTCCTTTGCGGAATGACCTACATTAGGTTGGTGCCACAATGCGACAACACGTTAGCCAACGTTGTAAATGAAACTCCGAATCATTTCTGTAGTTAATCACTGGGTCCATGCTCCAGGCATGATCCATGTGTATGGATCAGTGCTTCAAAAAAAATTTGTCACATGACTGAACGCTCTGTACCTGCATCACTATTTGAAGTTTTTTCAGTACAACCACAAACATTAGTATTTCATAGGGATCTTTTATTATTATCACGTTTCAGTCTTTGTAAATGCGTTCACAGTTTAATACTCAGCTTTAATGTGCAGTTCTACTTTAATCTATTCTAATCAACAATGTTGGTAATTGTTTTCTTTTCTAGCATATCCTAATGAAGCTTCTATTTCATGTGGTTTCTTGTGAAGGTGTTCCAGAGAGTGGTAGTATGCTAATATTTCCCAGGAAAATTTTTTTGACGTTTAGCGTGCAAAGTATGTAAAATGTGATGCCTAAGGCTACATGCAGTTTATCATTAAGTAGGTTCTTCTGTCAGTAGTTCTCTTTAAGGAACTTCAAGTATGGTGTTTAATCTTCTGTATCTTAATTGAATCTCTGTGACCCATTGCAAGCTTGGCATCCGCCATAACTGAAAATGTTATTTAAAGCTACAATCATTCCAATCTGAAAGCCTAATCAAATAGTCTCCACACATTATCTGGAATATCATATAAACTGTAAGTGTGGAACTTGGTGTGATCACCCTAAAACGGCTTCTCCGGTCTACACATCCATTGTTCAGGACCTATGCTCGTTGGTCATAGTACTTTACCATCTGCATGTGTAAATTTTTACATTTTGGGGTATTGTGTTTCCCCCCCTTTTCTCGGTCTCTCTCGTCCTTCCCCCCTCTCTCCCTCTCTCTCCCCCGCCTCTCTTCTCTCCTCTCGTCTCCTCTCCTCTCATCGCTCCCTCTCTCTCTTCCGTCACATCTTCTCTCTCCCTCCCTCTCTCTTCTCTCTCTCTCCCTCTCCTCTGTCCGCTCTCTCTCTCCCTTCTCTTCCCTCTCCTCTCCCTCTCTCTCTTCCTCTCTCTCCCTCCTCTCTCGCCCTCTCAGCTCCCTCCCTTCTCTCCCTCACCTCTGCCCTCCTCTCTCTCTCCATCTCTCTCCTCCTTCTTCTCCATCGTCTCTCCCCCCTCTCCCCCCCTCTCTTCCCCCTCTCTCTCCACCTGCTCTCCCCCCCTCTCTCCCCCTCTCTCTCCCCCCTCTCTCCCCTCCTCCGCCCCTCTCCTCTCTCCCTCCTCTCTCCCGCTCTCTCTCCCCTCACTCTCCCCCCCCTCTATCTCTCTCGCCCCCATCGTTCACCGCCTCTCTCTCTCTCCCTCTCCCTCCCGCCTTCTCCTCCCCCTCTCTCCCTCGCTCTCCTCCCTACCTCTCTCTCTCTATCGTCCCTCCTTCTCTAAAGCTTAATCATATCTATCTATCTCGATCTATGCTTCATATTAAACCAGCTTACTGGACAAGTACTTTCTGTTCTTCAGACTAAATTTCAAGTTCTGATGCGAGGGGGAGAGCTCAGATTTTCTTCGACACATAACTCCCACTCTCTTTTGTTGTTTGCTGATCTTATTTCCTCTCATGCGAAATTGATTTTTCTTCTGATTTTACTTGAGTCTCTGAGCATAATATACTTGTGTGTAGTTACTCTTAGAAGGGTTTTGATAACTACACCATTGTTGGGGACAATGTCCTTGCTTTTCCATTATGCACTGCTCACTATATAATCTTTTGAAATGGAATTTATTATCTCAAGTCTGCTGAACAGTAAGCTTAAGATTAAATCACCCAGCATTAGGCAAAATGTTGAATGTCTTTTAAAGGTAAACACAGTCTGTCCATTTAAAAATACATGTTCCATACCAGTCTGTTGCAATTTGCAGAATCAAATTTGCTGCAAACCTATTTTCTCAATGGCATTTCCTTCAGACAAGT